CGGGCGGGGTTATATTACGGAGGCTTTTTTATTGTTCCGTTATTTTGTGGATTTTTTTCGGGGGGGGGAGTTTGTTTGTTTTTTGCTTTAGTAAGAGTTTTACGGCACTTACAACACAAATAAGCCTTATAAGTTCTGAGAATAGGAAGTGAAACTAAAGAGTAACATAAAAATAAAAGAAAGAGAAATAAGGCGCAAGGTGTTTGATAGAGAAGAAAAGAAACTGCCGACTACCCACTAATCAAACGTCGGAACATCAGCTTCTGTCAGTAATGTTGTTTGTGTAACTCACTCACTCATCAGGTCGTGCGGCTGGAGAGACCTTCAGGAACAGCGACCTTCTGTCCAATCCTATCGCTGGTCTCATGATCGGTGTGCTTGCAACAGTGTTGGTTCAGAGCTCCTCCACCGCTACGTCCATTGTGGTGGCTATGGTCGCTTCTGAGGGTGAGTCTTTTGTTTGTTTTGTTTCTATTTCAGTGAAAATGGTGAAATGGTATCGGTTTAACGCCCCTTTCAACACTATTAAGTTATTTAAGAGGCGGCACCTCCGAGTTTAACGTCCATCTCCGAAAAAACCGAGCCAAGAGGGAAATTCGTGTAAAGTGCCTTTCCCAAGGACGCAGCGTCGGACCGAGCTGAGGCTCGAACCCGCGAACCCGCAAGCTGACGATTACGAGTCTGATAGTCTAACCACTAAGCCACCGACGCCACTCTATTTCAGCAACAGTTTTACGAAACTCCCAAAACAAATAGATAATATCGGTGCCTGAAGATTGGACGTGTTGCTGGAAAGGCAAAGGAGGACAGTAAGGACGATAAATGTTTGACAGAAAAGAAGGAGCAAACCACACCAGAGAGCCCGCCAACCACCCGAGAATCGTTTGTGACAGAAGGAAAAGGGAGTGCATAGGATGTTTGAGGTTTGGGGGAGAAAGTGGGGACAGAGAGAGGGAGGGAATGAGAGGGGGGGGGGGGCGTCCTGGCAATAGATTGGGCAAAGTCGTTCTTCGGGTGAGTAATGAAATAGACAGAAGAAATTATTGTTGCTGATGATGTTCTTGCTGCTGTGGTAGTATTAGTAGTAGTAATAGTAGTAGTAGTAGCAGCAGCAGTAATAGTAGTAGTAGCAGCAGCAGCAGTAGTAGTAGTAGTAGTAGTAGTAGTAGTAGTAGTAGTAGTAGTAGTAGTAG